CCATCTACTTTAGTGTTAAGGACACTCTATGACATCTGCACAAGGACAAAACTGTCTAATGACGTATTCTCAGAATATATCTGCATCACTAAGTGACATGTGACTTTATTTGCAGGGGCCACTTGAACAAAACAAAGACCCGTGTATATACATCCCTTGCACTGGTATTCACTCTGATAGCCACTGCACACTGTGCCTATACACATTATATCCAATTAACACGTACTCTTCAAACCTTTAGAAACATATGTACACTCAAGATACATATAGAGCCATATTTGGATGTGACATACTAGGCAAATATAACATTTTAAAATACCAAAATAAAACTATCTTCATTCTTAAAAAAATACTTTTAAATATTAGGTATGTATGAATAAAGTTTGAACAACATTATTCATTTATTCTTATTTAAACTGAGTCTTGTCTCTACTTTAACAAGGCATGTGCCAAGGGGAGGGAAACCTACGGCCTTAAGGAAACATGTGGCCTTCCAGGTCCTTAAGCAGCCTTTTGATTAACAAATCCTTTCACTAAAAGAGGTGCATCAGAGAATTTCTTTGCCTTCTTTGGTGCCAAAGAGAGAACAATCTTGAAATCAGAAGGCCATAGTTCCCCAACTTGCATGGAAAATAGTTTGGTGGGCCTTTAAAAATTTCCATATGATTGATGAATTCCCCAGAGAACAAAAAAAAGTATTCAGGCACACCAGCACTATTCACAACAGCCAAAAGGTAGAAATAGGCCAAATGTCCATGAACAGATGAATGGGTAAGTTAAATGCTGTATAACCATACAATGGAATATTATTCAACCAGAAAAAGAAATCAAATACTGATACACGCTACATGGATAAACCCTTAAAACATGCTAAGTGAAAGAAGTAGGACACAAAAGCTCAGATACTATCTGAGTCCATTCTTATGAAATATCCAGAATAAGTAAATCTACAGAGACAGAAAGTAAACTGATGGGTACCATGGGATGAGACATAGATAGGTTAACAAGGAGTCATGGCTTACTGGGAATAGGTTTCCTTTAGAAGTGATGAAAAATGTTTTTTAACCTGGTAAAGGTGGCAGTTGCACAACATTGCAAATGTACTAAATACCACTGATTTGTTTACTTTAACATGTGTGAATTTTACCTCAGGTTTTTAAAAAGCTTAGAACTTCATAAAAAACAAATCCAATTGTTTTTAAATTACATTTTCTTTAGTAATAACAGAAAATTTTAGACATTGGCTAAAGAGTCAAATGTAATTTACTTCAAAAATGGTGCATGTCAACAGAGGAACTAAAACTCCGAATTTTTAAATCTGATTAAATAAAAAGTTTAACCAATATCATTTTTTTTATTAAATCATAGCTATGCACATTAATGCAGTCATGGGGTACAGTGTGCTGGTTTTATATACAATTTAAAATACTTTCATCAAACTGGTTAACATAGCCTTCATAACATTTTCCTAGTTATTGTGTTAAGACATTTATATTCTACATTTAGAAAGATTCACACGTACCCTTGTAAGATGAACCACAGGCATGGTCCCACCAATTACCCTTCCTCCCCCTCTCTTCTTCCTCTCCCCTTTCCCCATATTCTTGGGCTATAATTGGGTTAGGCACGTGGC